AGTAATCAAGGTTTTTAGGTAGTAACTGTTGGTAAAATCACGTTTAGCAATCACGATTGGTTAATTTTCATGATGAAAGCTCTCAGTTCATTGATATTTCGTTACCAGAATTAAGTATAGTATTGTAGGATTAATTGCAACATAATCCTGTTACATGTAGTACCCTATGGAATACGAATAGTGAATAGTTTATTACAAATATCAGCGATACGTAACTCTAACTCTAACCTATCCCAAGAATAATCCTCCCTTATTATTCTCCATTTTCACCCTGATCATTTTTCCTATTTTTCCAGCAGTCCCCTCCCGTTTAAGCATAGTGACCTCAACAATGGACCTCCTACTCTCCCGTCCAAGTTCGTGCAAACAGCCAGATGACCCATTCGTAAGAAACCGAAGCCCAGTTTCCAAAAGAATCGTCAGCTCAGCCGGAACGCAGGACATGTCTCATGATCGTGTTCCTAGGAATCGATTCACCGAGATGAAATACGTCGAAATAAAGGTGTTCACGGTTGTCGTTGGTGTACGAAAACTAAATTTCGTCACGGTACTCGATAACGTTTCCTTTTGAGTAAAGTATGGTCGTCAGAAGCAGGTCGAGTGGACCCGATCGCGGGGACAGCTCGGATTGGCAATCTCCGTTGCCTTGACGAAACACGGCTACGACTTTATTTCGCGGGAAAATCGCGGAAGGAAACGTCGGAAAGGTCATGAAACGGTGGTGATAGAGGCGTCGACGCCAGAGAGCGTTACTCTCTAGTGGCAAAATGGCGGAGCATCGGAAGGTTGCCGCGAAAGGTTGCCGCGCCGAATCAATTTGCATACGGCGTGAAACCGCGCGTTGCGATTACCACGGTAATATCTGCGATTTGTTCCTTTCCTCGGCGTTCCGGCGACTAGCGATTGACTTGAATCGCACGTAAATCTGAGCCGTGTCCTTGTTCCTATCTGCTTTCGAAAGGCGCGGTGAAACAGCGAGCGTGTAGGCGGATTTGCTTGGGAACACGTAACTCTGACGTGTACCGATTTTTCCTTCGCTCTCGTTGGATCGTGCGAGTCTGATATTTCGATTAAAGCGATACATAGGTTAGGTTAAATTAGGTTACGGAAGTTCGTTAAGGATGAGAGTACACGGAGAGGGAAGAAACGTGCCATTTTTGAGGCACGTTAACTTCCCGTAACTGCGAATTCAGGCGAATTGGAAGTTTGATATTTGAGAAGATAGAACTTGGAAGCTGCACGAAGAAAGGAGAGGAGAGGCGAGCATGGTCTCCTATAGATACGAAATTTGCCCTCGATAGGTCGGCCCCACGTAGTTTACAGTAGACTAGACTACGGTGTCGATCTTCTATATCGTCGAACAATCCATAAGAGTCTATATAACTTAGAAATTTCACGGAGCCCTGTGCATCGACTTTAACGAGGCATGGTGCACTTTAGATACCAAGTAGGCGTTCGAAAAGTCGACTTCACACGGATTATGGCACAGTTTCCTAACACTTATCCTACGTACATACCACCCACGGAACTTGTCTTGATAGAATTAATTCGCCTCTTTAGTTACAAACATTCCATTTACATATCGCTCCTAATAATGTAATCTTCGTTCCCTTTACTCCCTTATTCCAGTGTTTCTCAACTTGTTGCAAGAATTTCGTAAAAATTTCCTTGGCGATGGAAACATTCGCCATTTTGACAGATACCATTCGCGTTACCGATGAGTTACCACGGGAAATAATAAATAGTAATAAACACGATGCTGTATTTTCTTAGAAAACTTGAGAAACACTACGGTGCTTCGCGAATAACGGAAACAATTCGTACGTATATAGCTGAAACGGTAGAACTGCTAGAATAGAAACGCGAGTAGCAACGTTTTCGATTTCCACCGCGGCTGTAAAGCCGAGGGGAGGAAAAAAAGATCAGGGAACCGGCTCACGTATCGCCGACAAGTTCTCTGGAGCAGCGAACAAAATGAGATCGGTCTTTCGTCCCACAGGATGCACAGCTGAACGCGGCGTCCCCTATCCTCCGATTAACCAGATCCGGGGAAACAGCCTGGGGACCACTTCCTGGCGGTGACTGGACCATTTTTCAGGCCAATCACAGCACCTACGAGCCACTGGCTTGGGCGCATCGGGACAGCCTCGACTATCCGGCCAATAAAAGTCCTCTGGCGACTGTCATTCAGGTGAGACACGCGACTCGTGCAAGGGTTGAATCGTCATTCGCGATTCGGTTTATCGCACACGCCCTTATCCCGCCAATTATCGTAACAATCGCGGGACCCTCTCTCTGGGCCACTCTTCGTTAAATTAAACGAATCGAGGAGCGAAATTGAGAAGATCGCGGATGATGATCTTTCACCGCGACCCATCTCAGGCAGGATCTCTAACTCGCATCGACCGAGGCTAACTTCCGTCCCTTCCTAATTAGCAAATTAATTAACGCGCCTGCTGTTTATCGCTTTTCTTTTCGCAGTTGCCCGGCCCCCCTCCGCCCTCGCAGATTCATCAGACCTCGCCGCTTTGTCGGACTCGAGTCGCTAACGTAATTGCGAAGAATATTAATTACAGCCTACAAAAGGTCGTGTTCCGGCTTTCCTCGCTGGTTCGCAGGAAGCGGAAAGAAAAACGAAAGAAAGGACGCGTCGGAACCTTTCCACCCCCGAGCCGTTCTCCGCTGGATACGTTGATCCTTTGTACGACGTGGCCCGATGCAACCCCCCCGACGCCCGGCGAATTCAAACAGAAACCACCGCTTCTTACTCGGATTATTAATTAATACTCGCATTGTTAACGCACAAAGTGACGGGTCCGAGGCGAAGTTCGTTTAATGAAACGCGATTCTGCGCCCTTTCAACCCCCCTCGCTTGTTTACCGTGTCATATTCACTGAAAATTTCGTTAACGAACGCTCTTTTTCAACTTCGTCGGCCAAAAGGCCCCGATAGGCCAGAACTTGCCCGGTTCCCGTTAATTAACGCCTTTTGTCCAACGTCCACAGCTTTTCCAGTGTTCCTTTGACCGGTTGGACCAGCGGACGTTGATAGGTCGCATTGCTCAGCGTGTCCCGATCTCCAACCCCTTCCGGAATACCGTCAGCACGCACCCCACGTGGTTTGCGCGCGGCAAACGCTGCAGAGATGGGACACGATGCTGGATTCCGTTGCTATTGACCCCCGCGTGTTGGTCAGCTTGCTCGGGGCGACACAGGGGGTTGGAATGACGGCTAAACCGGTCGATAGCGACGTTTGGTTTCTCGGTCACGGAATTCCGCTTTGACTGTCGCGTGCGGGTATTATTTTTAAACGTGCAAGGAATTTCGCCGCGGGTAGAATATTCGAAATTTCGGGAAGATGGTCGCAGAGACTTGCTGGGGAATTTTGCTGAACGAAATTCGGAGATACCGTGAACGGGGGAGTTTGTTAGACCCGCGTATCTCGAATTTACTTGGTAAAATAATAATTATGAATTGCGTTAATAAAATGAATTTAAATTTAGGGGTGGATGGAGAACGTAGTACCCTGCGAACTTCGAGACACGCGATGTTTCCGAACGCTAAATCAGAATTAATCGCGTTTCGCATCAATCCCTGTCTTAGCCACAGAAATCGTTTAACTTCGACTGAAAGGGCACCCGCGATGACGTATTAATTTATCGTGATAACAAAACCAGGGGCGTAAACATAAATTCTGGGTTCACGAACGTTATCCGCCCCGGTCGTTGCGAATTAATGGAAATATCCGAATGCGGATACACGGCGAAGCAACCCCCTCGAGCGTCCCCTGGCGTTGCTGTTTCCACGAGAAATGTTAGCTTTTAGCCCAGGAAAACGAAAACAAATGCGAAGTTTCCGAGACGCGCGTGCACGCGAGCCCAGTTTCATTCCGCGACCGGAGTCTTGAATCTCTCGCGCGGAAATGAAGATGGAAGAGCGAAGATGGCGGGGCGAGGGGGCACCGTGGAGTATGAAAGGCGGCAGGGGACGATGTAACGGAGATAAGGAGCGGAGGGGGTGAGCGAGAGTGGCGAGCCGAGAATAACGCGGTTTGGAGAGGAGGGGGCGAGTAAACAGGAATAAACGCGATAAAACGGACGAAAAAGTGTTGGGGGTAGAAATAATAGGGGATAGGGGTGGCTCGTAGGGCAAAGCGGGCAAAGACTGGCGCAATAAACGCGGTGGGCAGGTTGTAAAATTAAAATTGTAAATGTTACGCGGGCTGAGGAAACAATGCGGGGGGAGTGGAAGGAAATTGAACAATAAGAAAGCGTAAAGGAATGAGGGAGCTAGTAAGAAGGAAGGCAGAGCGAGAATAAACCGTGATAAAGGGTAGGTTAAAGTGGCGCGGCGGCGAAGCAACGACGAGGAAGGGATGACGTGAAATAATGCAAATTAGGCGAAGGTGAGGGTGAAATAAAAGCGGGGAAATGGCGGCAGGAGTGGAGAGCGAGCCGCGGCGGATGCTGGACGCGTGGCAGAAGAGGAATATTAAGAAGAAGAAATATGGACGGATTAAACGGGCCGAGTGGGACGCATAAAGGTGGGGAGGAAAAAATAGGAGCGAGAAAAAGGGCTGTTCTCGGCGAGGAAACAGGGAACAGGCGGGTCCGAAACAATCCGTAAAGCTGTTTCCCTGGCCGTTTACATTCGTGTTGGAATTCGCGATTGCGAGATTCCACGACGCCGTAAAGGCCCCGCCGGAAGCGGCCGCGCACCGGATGAAAGCGCCGGTGATCTATAGAACGCGAAAATGCAGACGCGAAGAAGACACCGACAGCGGCTCTTCCTCCACGCGAAGAAGCTCGTGCCATGCAAACAGGAAATATTCGTCTGATATAACAAACGGCCTAGACGTGATATCATCTGCTTCGCAGCGAGCAGTCGCGTACGCTCGACGGGTCTGTTTCGTCTGCTGTCAACCTGGCGACATTTTTTATTACACCCTCTTCAGGGGTTTGTCTCTGTCCCACGTCTAGATTGCTCGATAGCTCGGCAACTCCTTGCCCCGAATATTTTCCTTTTCCTTATTTATTTTCGTTAATAGCAACGCTTTATTCGAGAATTTGCGTTACTTAAATAGCATGGAATCACGTGAGCAGTGATAGCCATAGATAAAAGTAAATATTATAGTATATATAGAGTATATATTAATAACTTAACAATATTAATAATATTGTAATATTGCAATTTTTTTTACAATAGTATTATAATTAACACGTTCTGTGCCAAGCTATTTTTGCCCGACATGATCTTCAGGCCATTTGTTGTTTCGGCTAAAAATTGACATATTATCGCACAATATGTCATTACATCATTAATCCATATGTAATTAGCTTGTTTAGAGTAGTTATCACATCGTGTACCTTTTATGGTGTACTATGGTTACTGTAAAAGTCAGCCAGTTCGAAAATTTTCCACTAATAAAAAGCACTAGAATAGTCCGTGACGTTTTACAGCAATAGCAACTATTACATATAATTAATAATTATTGTATATATAACAATTAAACAAATTTACATGTTTTGTTCTATACCGCATTTTGTATAATGCCTCATTCTCTTAGTAGAAATATATCTTTTTCAGAATTAAATTTGTCAGAAAACCAAGTCTTCAGTACATTAAATAAATATGTTTGTATGTACCATTTATGGTACACGTGGCACAGAATGTGTTAAACAATATTAATAATATTATAGTAAATATATAGACAAGTAAAGTAAAAGTGTATATATCTTGTAACTATAATATATAAACGAATGTGGCTTATCTGTTAGGCCTCGATTCTGGGACTAGACTGACTGTAACCCTAGGAAGGTCCTGTAAAAAGATGTTCTAACCTATGGGAAAACTCGCGAATGCTTCCAGGTGTCCAAACAGAGTCTCGTAGAGTCTAATTGTAAGCCTGTATCGCGTCATTAAATCCCACAATTTTGATTAAAATCATCCTGCGTATACTTCAATGTCGATCATTTACCGTGACCGCTGTCATTTCATCTCGCACTTGTTCCAGATAGTCAGATGAAATTCTAATCTTCGTTTTGCAAGTCTCGCGTGCTTATGCACAGGACGCTTCTCGATAAATTTCGATCACCATAGTCACCGAGGTATTTTTGAAACAGTGTGCCGCAGGATCGCTATCGTGCGACCGCATCTGATAAATTTCGCGGCTGGCAGGCGATATCGCGGCACTTGCGTGCCACTTGAGCACTCGAGATTTAGGGATCGTGCAGCCCTAGTAGTGGACGGGTTTAAGTAGATTTAGGGACCGTGCAGCCCTAGAACTGTCCGCGTGGAGGTAGATTTAGAGCCTCCACAGCCGTAGAAATTTCTCGGGTAGAAACGGCACGCTTCGAGTCGCCGATGAGCGAAGCAGATCGCTCGAGATTACGAAAATCGTCGTTAAGAGCTACCCGATACGCGAAGATCTTCACGGTTTCGCGATTGCTTCACGCGCTTGAACTCGGTGTCGTCAAATTGCTCTATCTGCGCGGAATCTAGGTGTAATTCCGTCCTGTCCGGGATAGCAGCGTTTCGTTATGTTCTTCCACTGACGATAATAAATCTTTCCTATCGCCCACTTGTATCTTTCGCCTAAACAACGGCGAATTTCTTGTACAAGCACGGCGACAAAGCCGCACGGAAGTTCTTAGGTGATTTTATCTTCTAGTCAATTGTTGTAGATCTTTGTGTTTTCCGAGTAATTGAAGAGCTCGGAAAGACCATGATGTCGTTAATGATATACAGGTTAACGATTGGGAAAAAATATTTTGACACGAAGTTGAAGAAATATGAACAATTAGGCTGCTGCAGAAAATACAATGTATATAATACGATATAGATAGCTTCAAAATATACAATGGAAGCAATAAGTCCACGAGATTTACCGAAAAATTGATATTTATGACATGTCATTGACACAATTTTGACCAATGATACGTTACCCTGCAGAAGTGCTGCGATATAAAAGGTTCATTTTAAGAAGAAAGGACAACCCAAAGATGAAATAAGAAATGGAATACCTGTCCATAGTTTATTCAAAGGATCTTAAGGAATACCAACCTATCGACACTTCGCAGATGAACATTAATTATCCGAGTCGTCGAGCGCATCTCTAATCACGCGAATCTCCATATAAACACCTGTCATCGATTCAATATCTTCTAGTTAATTGTTGTAGATCTTCGTGTTTCTTAAGTAATTGAAGATCTCGAGAAGGCCACGATGTTGTTAACGATACACAGGTTAACGATTGGGAAAAATTATTTTGACAGGAAGTTGAAGAAATATGAACAATTAAGCTGCTCCAGAAGATACAGTACATATAATACAATATAAATAGCTCCAAAATATACAGTAAAAGCAATAAGTCCACGAGGTTTACCGAAAAATTGATATTTATGACATGTCATTGACATAATTTTGACTAATGATACGCTACCCTTCAGAAATGGTACGATATAAAAGGTTTATTTTAAGAAGAAGGGACAAACCAAAGATGGAATAAGAAATGGAATACCTGTCCATGATTCGTTCAAAGGATCTGAACGAATACCAACCTATCGACACTTCGCAGAATGAACATTAATTATCCGAGTCGTCGAGCGCATCTCTAATCACGCGAATCTCCATATAAACACCTGTCATCGATTCAATATCTTCTAGTTAATTGTTGTAGATCTTCGTGTTTCTTAAGTAATTGAAGATCTCGAGAAGGCCACGATGTTGTTAACGATACACAGGTTAACGATTGGGAAAAATTATTTTGACAGGAAGTTGAAGAAATATGAACAATTAAGCTGCTCCAGAAGATACAGTACATATAATACAATATAAATAGCTCCAAAATATACAGTAAAAGCAATAAGTCCACGAGGTTTACCGAAAAATTGATATTTATGACATGTCATTGACATAATTTTGACTAATGATACGCTACCCTTCAGAAATGGTACGATATAAAAGGTTTATTTTAAGAAGAAGGGACAAACCAAAGATGGAATAAGAAATGGAATACCTGTCCATGATTCGTTCAAAGGATCTGAACGAATACCAACCTATCGACACTTCGCAGAATGAACATTAATTATCCGAGTCGTCGAGCGCATCTCTAATCACGCGAATCTCCATATAAACACCTGTCATCGATTCAATATCTTCTAGTTAATTGTTGTAGATCTTCGTGTTTCTTAAGTAATTGAAGATCTCGAGAAGGCCACGATGTTGTTAACGATACACAGGTTAACGATTGGGAAAAAATATTTTGACAGGAAGTTGAAGAAATATGAACAATTAGGCTGCTCCAGAAGATACAATACATATAATACAATATAAATAGCTCCAAAATATACAGTAAAAGCAGTAAGTCCACGAGGTTTACCGAAAAATTGATATTTATGACATGTCATTGACATAATTTGACCAATGATACGCTACCCTTCAGAAATGGTACGATATAAAAGGTTTATTTTAAGAAGAAAGGACAAACCAAAGATGGAATAAGAAATGGAATACCTGTCCATGATTCGTTCAAAGGATCTGAACGAATACCAACCTATCGACACTTCGCAGAATGAACATTAATTATCCGAGTCGTCGAGCGCATCTCTAATCACGCGAATCTCCATATAAACACCCGTCGTCGATTCAAGATAATACCAAACAGGCAATTTGTTAATTGCGCTGATACCAAAGAGGGGCCCACGACTGACCGGCTTGCGTTTTGAAACGGTCGCCATGAACGGAGCTTGTTAGCAGTAAACAACAATAATAATCTCACTGATAACCCCATTACGTAGCCACGGTCGGTAGGCCGGAGATTCACGGATCACAGGTAGCCAGGTAATTAAATCAATAGCCAATCAGCCGTTGGTTCATTCGATTAATGTGCATCGACGCAAGTTGCTTCGTTTGTCGCTATTCGTGCCGGGAAATTTATTTTGCTCGCTGAACGCATTCGCGAATCGCGTTTCTCGATGAAACGGACAGAAGCCCCAAGAACCAGGCGTGTTCCGAGCTTTCGAACGTGTTTTCCTTTCGAAATCTCGTCGATCGATCATAAGCCGTCGCCTCTCCTCTACCACCTTTTTTCCCCTCTCCCTTTATCCCGTTCTTTTTGGAAAAACACGAAGCCGCCGATGAATCGCTCCTTTCAGCGTCCCCCGACAGTTTCTTTATGGCCGTTCGAAGCAAACGAGCTTGAAATTCGATTGATAAAACGTCCCCTTTGTTTGATGAAAAGAAGATTATCGATGGAAACGTTCGCTTTCACGGGTAGAAAAAGAATCGAACCCGATCGGATTCGAGAGCCGGATTCTTCGTTTGACGGAGAATTTCTCTGACCAATCGAGCCATTCAGACCGGCCGAACCGCACAGGGTCCCCCCATCCCACGACTCGATATTCGAAATGACTATTCGCTCGATAAACGAGACTCTGCTTGGCCATGCTGAAAATTCTAGACAATAACGTGGCGAAATCGTCGTGGATGGAATCTATTTTAATTACCAAACGTTCGCCGTAATATTTCTGCTTTCACATTCGAGAATTCAACGTTCCGACACGCGGGAATGGTCACGATTGCTCGCCATTGTTGTCCGCTAATGCGTTCTGTATTTATTAAAATATTATATTTATTAAAATATCATATTTATTAAAATATCGGAAACACGAGAAGCGTGACTGATCCATTGATCAGAGATCCATGTTCGATTATTATAGGGTTTGGTTACTACAGGGCATCGCGTTAAAGCGAAGCATCTTTCGAATTAGCGCGCTCTCGCAGCGCACCCTAGTAGACGCGCATGCGCGTCGATGGATAACGCGCCGAAGGCATTAACGCTGCACATTGATCGCTCGCGATCGATGAAAAATAAATGGAACGAGATTACCGTAATTTCACCACGGCCAATGAACAATTCTTGCTTTACGTGACGGTCGATCGACGCGTGTGATCGATAGGCGGCGCTGGCGTTTTCCTTTTTACTTGGGTCTTCGACGTCGATGAGGTCCGTGAAAAAAAGGAAAAAAAAAGAAAAAAAAGAAAAAAGGAAAAAGGGAGAAAGTCGCTTTAAGTAACTGGGTTCCTCGAGCGGCAATGTAATTTAATAACGTCGTTTGATCGATGGGATAAATTCCCGCGCGAGTTGGAATCTATCGACTCGCTAACGCGTATTCTATGGCCGAACGAGGCCCGTAATTTTAGACGTTAATTTAGAAGCATCGAAATCGGATTTCCAACGCCGCGAAACGAACAGAAAACGAATTTTTATTTGGAAAAACGGATTTATCTTGCAACGTATGAAATGTAGAATCTCGCTCGGAGTAGCGATCGAGCGACGATACGATCGCTATTCGAATCGAATATATCGCTCTTGAAAGCGGTTAAAAGAAGATTAGCGTACCGTGGCCTCTCATAACCCGTTTAACCCCGAAACGATCGAAATCCGCTTGAAAATCGAGCCTTAATTTCCACGGAAATCCTCCTTTCTGTCGAATATATTTTTCTATATTCCACCATCCCCGATTTTTACTTTCCTCTTTTCCTTCCTTTTTCACCATTCGTCGTGCAACCCTTTACGCGGAAGGATAATCCGCGGAATTTGATCGATATTAAATGGCAGGAGCGCGCGCGCGCTATCAGCCCGGCCTAGGTAAACGAGCTATTTCGAGTTAGCCCGGTTTAATTCCTCGCCCACACCCTCGATAAATAGAAGAAAAAGAAGCGGAAACGGCGTCGTCCGCTAAACGGCAGAGATCGGAGCCGTCGCACTGGCTGATAAGCCTAAACGCGATAAACCTTAACGTGCTCCATATTGGATTTTCATTACGCAGGATCACGGCAGATTCGACGGGATTCAGAGGGTCTTTTTCGGCGGCGGAATGCGATTCTGGCTGCACAATTTGCTGCTACTCGACTCCCTTTCCTATCTGTCTCATGGCCAGTTGAGCCTCAGCCTGAATCGCATGATCCTGGTGGATGTCGACGACATATTCGTTGGCGAGAAGGGAACCAGACTGAAGAAGGACGACGTGATGGCGTTGCTGGCCACCCAGCAGAGGATCCAAGCGTTGGTCCCGGGTTTCAAGTTCAACTTGGGGTTTTCTGGGAAGTACTTCCATCACGGCACCGCCGAGGAGAATCTGGGGGACGATATGCTTCTGGAGAACGTCGACAGGTTAGCCGCGCCTTGTATCATCTTTTCCTCCCTTTTCTCTTCTCTCTTTGTAATTATCGTGGTCCATTATTGCGTTCCATTTTACGCGGAAGTGGTGCGAGAATCGAGTAACGCCTCTTCCTCTGCTGTCCCCTTTTTTCGGTTTTCGCGAGGGGATGCTGGAATCGAGTTAGAGACGATTCGAGAATGCATTTCACGCGCGGCACGCGAGGTGAAAAGAGGAGCGTAATTGGCGAAGAGTTACTGCTCGAATGGGGCAATAAACAGAGCACGAAAAGATTCACCGTTGGTGCAAATTGACGTTTCGAGACCGTGCACACTCGTCATGGTTGATCTGGTCCCGGAAGTCGCACCTGTTCGCGAATTGTCGCGAATTGCTCGACTAATTGCTTCGTTGTGAGCAGGAATTAAAGTCGCGGATCCATTATGTATATTTCGATCGTCGATAACGCGAGCAGATCGAGTTGACAGGACTTTCGCTCCTTTTTTGACAGAGTTTAGATGAACTCGCGCGAATATCTGGCATCGTTTTGACAGAACTTAGATTTCGAATTGCTAGAAGATCGTTCGTTCTCGTTGGATGTTCTTAATGTGTAAAATCAGCGCTTCTAAATCGCAGATTTACGTGGTTTTCCCACATGTGGAATCATCAACGACCTCACCTGTACGAGAATGTAACACATCTGCAATTGGACATGGCGCTGAACAAACAGTTCGCGAAAGACCACGGAATCCCAACAGGAAGCGGTTACAGCGTAAGTCCTCATCACTCCGGCGTTTATCCGGTTCACGAAGGACTCTACGAGGCGTGGAAAAGGGTGTGGAACATCAAAGTCACCAGCACCGAAGAGTACCCCCATTTGAGGCCGGCTCGGTTAAGACGAGGCTTCATTCATCGTAACATAATGGTAAATCCTCGCTAATCTCTCTTTTAGCCCCAGCTTCTAATTTACTTTCCTTCGTTGAACGACTCCGACCACTTTTCAAGAGGGATACTCGTGGCACGCGTACTAGGGAAATGTAATGAGAAATTCGAACGAGTTAACGCCTTGACTGCCACTTTGTTGGTCACATATCACAGACCACGGTTTCTCCTGTGACTTCACGGTGGTCATTGTTGACTGGAACGCTTCAACTACTTACAATTGTAAAAATTGAACGAAAATTGACAGTTTGTTGACTGTCAACCGTTATCAAGGCGCCACCGGTGGTCACCCGTGACTGCCAATAAGATAAACGCTCTATTGAGTAAGAATATTGTCTTTTATTACCATTTTATTATTATTTTACCATTGTATGTTTCGAATAATAAAAATACTCCCATGACGTCCTGAGCGAAACATGTGATTTCGGAGTGGCAGTCAAAGGATTAAGGCTTTAACGCAATCTCGAGTTTTCAATATATGTATACATATATAAAAGCGTACTATTTCGTTAAATCAAATCAGCCCGAATAGCTTTCCCCGGCATAACCGGTCGAACATGCCAATAGAGCCTAGAACGTGCCAGTTGTTTGACGTTAACTGCCAGCCACCAGCTCGGAAACTATGCAAAAGCAATAAACGAATTCATGATCGAACGAACGAACGAACTAGTGGGTAATTACGTGGTTTCGTGCTTTGCGCGTGGACTTTTCGTACAAAGTTGCACGGGATTGTCCCGAAGATCAGACGGATAGCTCTGCGGCTATACGGCAAAGACAAAAATCGATGGATTACTCGCGACTCGATATAACGAATCGACGGACGATAAAGCTACCAAACGAAACACCTTTCCGACTCGTGGATTCTTCCGCTTAAACAACCGTCGAACGGATAAAGAGGAATAAAAGATTGATTTCCCTCGGGCTCGTGGTTCTTGTACACCGCGACGAATTAAACGATGAAACTGAACGCGTGACGATCTCTTCCCTTTGTTTCTGTGCAAGGTCCTACCTCGGCAAACCTGTGGCCTTTTCACACACACGATCTTCATCGATAGATACCCAGGCGGAAGGGACAAGCTGGACAAATCGATACAGGGTGGCGAACTGTTCCAGACCATCGTTCACAATCCTGTACGTAATCCTGTGATACGTGTGGCTGATTTTCAGAAGGTACCCTTTTCGCTCTCATCCGACACGGCGTTTGGTTTTAGATCAATATTTTTATGACGCACATGTCGAACTACGGGAACGATCGTCTGGCACTGTACACGTTCGAGTCGGTGATTAAATTCATTCAATGCTGGACGAACTTGAGATTATCCAGCTCGCCGCCTCTTCAGCTGGCCGAGAGATATTTTCAGCTCTACCCCGAGGAATCTGACCCTGTGTGGGGCGTAAGTTGTTGCTAAGTGAGACTACATTGTAGCGAGCGTGTTGGTTTTTAAGCAACGGATCGTGAAGGCTCTCTTTTGTGTCAAAGAATCCCTGCGACGACCTGAGGCATCAAAAGATCTGGTCGAGGAACAAAACCTGCGATCAGCTACCGAGGTTCCTGGTAATTGGCCCCCAAAAAACTGGCACTACCGCTCTTTACACTTTCCTCTCCATTCATCCGGCGATAAGCAGCAATTTGCCGAGTCCTGACACGTTCGAGGAGATTCAGTTCTTCAATGGGAAGAATTATTACAAGGGCCTGGACTGGTAAGTAAAATGAGGCGAGGGAAAAAAGTGGACCTGTTGCTGCCTCGTTTCTACGAACAGACTTTCTGAAACACGTGAATCACGTTAATTGATTTCCTCTGCTTATCGTTCCCTTTCATCCGCAGGTACATGAGCTTCTTCCCAGCCTCGAAGAACGAGAGCTCGCGGTATCTGTTCGAGAAATCCGCGACGTATTTCGACGGAGAGCTGGTACCTCGGAGAGCACACGCGCTTCTACCGAGAGCAAAATTAATCACTATACTGCTTTCGCCGGCCAGGCGTGCCTACTCGTGGTACCAGCATACGAGGGTCCACGGCGATCCTGTAGCAAATAATTATTCCTTTCACTCGGTTATCACCGCGAGCGATACTGCACCGAAACCCCTACGCGATCTCAGGAATAGGTAGGTTCGAACATTCCACGAACACTCGGATAATTTTCTGTTTGTTGCGAGCACGAGCAGTCTAGCGCTTGTCCGGACTAGAATAACGAGTCGCTGAAAGTTTCCGGAATAGCTGAATGCAAATAATAACATTATCCTGCCACGTAATAGCCGTACAGGGTGTAGACGAGCCAAGATCTAAATTGCTAATGCGCTTCGAGATCGTGTAGATTGCCCGAGCTCTGTCTGTGCAGCGGAATATTAATTGTACGCGGAAAGATAAATGCGGCAAATATCATTGCTCGAGTCTGTTACAGATGTTTAAATCCCGGGAAATACGCGCAGCATCTGGAGAGATGGCTTTCCTATTATCCGCCTCAGCAATTGCACATCATAGACGGGGAGCAGCTACGTCAGAATCCCGTCGAGACGTTGCACGAACTACAAAGGTTCCTCAAGATCACGCCCGCTTTCAATTACTCGTCCCACTTGAGGTACGACCCGAAGAAGGGGTTCTTTTGTCAAGTTACCAACGAGGATCGCACGAAATGCCTCGGCAAGAGCAAAGGCCGTCAATATCCACCGATGGAGGATAAATCGTACAAATTATTACAGGTAGGTTTAACGAGAGACAAGACATTGAAAGGATAACACGAGTGGATGATTTCTTCAACTTGTCCCTTTGTTCACAGAGGTATTATTTATCTCACAATACGGCCCTAGTGAAATTATTAAAGCGACTCGGGCTGAGGACGATCCCACAATGGCTGAAGGAAGATCTCACCGACACGGTGATGACCTAGCAGACGTCGATTATATGAAACGACACCGTTTCCGAACTGTTCATTTCTACGGTGAACGAGATTCACCGGTTACTAGCTGAAGATCTGTAAAATAATTGTACATTCGATGTAATTCCACTGGACTCCAAATCCTCGACGGAAGGACCATTACAATGGCCTATCCCAGTGGTTTGGCCTAAGATCGGTGGGGAGCCTGCGAAACTAGTCACTAAGCGGTTTCACGGTGAACACGACCGTGACTGTCGATCGTTGTTAAGCCAATAGTACTATTATTAACGTTATATTATTATTGTCATCGTTGTTGCGTCGTAGAGAACATGATTATTAGGAGTACAGCCCGCTCGCTAGTGCCATCATCCGTCTATAATGATTGGACGCCTTTCGTTCTAATCTTTACTACTGAAGGTGAATAGAAATCTAAAGAAAGAGGATTCCTAATACGTGCCCGAGATCAATTTTTCTTCGATCTTAGTACAACGTGTTTCTCCTCGACGAAATCGAGAATATTTTGATAAATCAGAAGACCACGAACAAACGCACATTTTCAATTTGCGTAACGATAATCATAAACAAGTTGCCGACTCGGGGACAATGACTCTTTTGAAACCTGAGTAGTAAAGAGAAGAAGGTAAATGGATGCTTTAACGAGTGAAATTAGAAGTGACCAAAAAAAAAAGGAATTAAAAAAAATAGAAGAAAAATCGGTATTTTGGGAGAAGTCGATACTTCAGTTCTTGCGAGAGGAGGTCTGTCCAAAATGTGTTGCGATGTTTGAAGAGATTTATTTCCTCGTGAAAGTGATCAATGGATAGATCGAGTGTGTTGATGTTTAGATCGACGATCCGTCAGTCCTTCACTTCTGGTACTAATTGCAGGATCGTTTCTGCGAGTGAGATTTTTTGGGTCTTTGAACATTTTTCCTGCCCACTTACCCTCTCAGAGACACAATGTACATTAATTCTCGTTGTGTAAGCGTATTTAAGAAAAGAGGAGAAAAAATGAAGAAAAAACTATAATGATGATTCTATGTATATTTTGACAATACTATTCTTGGTACCGCCGATGGAAAGGTCGATGAAAGATGTGTGATCGCGTCCGTTTGTACATTCATGTATCGTACTGTTTTGATGTGATCGTAGGTGTACCATAACGACTTAATGAGATAAAATTTAAAAAAAAAATGGGAGAGAAGAGAAAGAGGGAAAAACTATTTCTGGAATGATCGTTGATGATAATTTTTGGTGAACGATGATCTTAAATTCAGAAGTGATAACTGCCTACTTGCAGTAACTGCTATTGTCACGTTTGGGGCACACGAACTCTGGTTTAATGATAATCCTATGTTCCAAAATAGACGAATTATTTGTTGTTGAAGAAAATCGAGCGATTTTTTGAAACTTTAATACCTGATGTATTATAGTGAATCGTACGTCGTGGAAATGAAAATGTATCGTTGTGAATAAAACCACGTTATTCGCAACATAATTTAATCATGGTAATAGTTTGTTGAAAGCATATCAGTTACAGTTACCTTTGTTAATCGTACATATGATATATCGGTTACTTACACCCTTCACGAATGGATCAAATTCGTCGAATCTAATCCTATTGTCCCTGATATGCTATATTTCTAGCACTCTTTTTGATATCGATATTGCTATTGGTTTAGAAATTATACAAGTGTCTCGTTTTAACGAATCCTTGCTACTTAAGTAAAACAAGTAACATAATTATAAATATTTATTTAGAAGGTAATTATCTTTTCTCAAAGAAAAAGAGAATTAAAGGAAAGTTAATATCATGAAAAAACTACATATATCTGGTCCAAAACGAATTTAAAAATTGTGTCGCTACTCTGTGCGAAATATGCATCTAAAAAAGCCACGTACCATCAGTGATGAAATATTTTATATTTAGATGCTACCTTATCCATACGTTACCCCTTGTATACGTTACCCTTTGTATATTTTGTTTTCATTTTTATACTGCCGTTAAACTGTGTCACGTGACGTTTAACGAATCATGTACAAAGTTTATTGTTAATATAATGATAATTAACGATAATGATATTAACACTAAGCGATTGATCTGTTTTGTCAAATCGTGCCATTTTACCAGTGTTGTATATACAGTTGTATTATTGTACCAATCGCGGCGTCAGATCTCTAGAGTCAATATTAATCAGTTTTGTTCGGTATGGCAGTAGCAAAGATTGTCCGATTTGCTACCAGCTGACAATAATATGTGACGAACCGGAATCGCAAAAGTCATAGAAAGATTCGATATACGAGCCCGAAGAATTTAAAAGCTCCTTCAGCAATTAGCACTACTTCATCGTTGGTTTAGCCATAGTACATGTAAATGATTCTTTTAATAAGATTCTCGGAAGGAGAACAAATTTTAATTTATGTAACTTCCATGTGCTTTTTCTCTCAAATATTATTATTAAAATTGTAACTGTTGAGCGAGTAGCATTCCGTTACATTTAATAATCAATAATTAACTTCATATTTAAGTACTTGAGGCAGACTTATATCTTAACCCGTTCAGAAGTTAACCAGCGATAAAATATTGCTAATTTTAAATTGTCCGCGTATTTGCATTTCAGATTATACCAACTAAAGCGTGGAAAATAAGGTTTTGTAGATGTTCTAACAAACTGTTGTGTAAACGATTAAAAAGAAAAAAGCAAAGCTGTCATTGTACGAATAAAGAAAGACGCGTGTAGAATATGTGTACGACTTTAATAGGAACCTTTGATTATTTAACTTAAAATTATTCTATTGTAAAATACTGTAATAACTGTATGAATAGTCTGTAAGTTCTAATAAAACAAAAGTTAAAAATCTTCGATATCAAATCTTTCATAACTATTTTTTTACTTTTGTATATTTTACAAATACTTTACAATAAGAAATCTCGATTTTTTCTTTTTGAAAAGGCGAATTCCTTTCTTTGCTTTAATCGATATAATTTGATCAATTGATATAAAAATCTGTTTCATATAAATTAGTCATTTTTAAGCCATTACTTCACCTGGTCTGTGGCGTCCTCTCCTAGCATCGTCCTCATTCTGATATTTACTAGTATGCGCATCGGTATCTGGTTGTTCACCGAAAGTTGATCCCGGTTGAAGGTAAATGGGATCTCTATCGGCTCGAAACAATCTCTCCAAAACGGATCTCCTCCGTGTTCTTCCTTCGGCTATGCTAGCTCTCAAATGATTCAAATATTCCGATCTATTTCTCAGTAAGCCCGAACATTGCAAAACAGCGAATGCAACGAACATAATGATTGCAACGAAAATAGTTATTGTGGTTAAACAGATCAGTTGCCAACAAAAATTTAATAAAACCGATGTCACGTTATCATTCTCGCCGATATTAAAAAATGGAACTAGAAAACTTCCCAAAATGGCACAGACCAGGTGAATAGCTACAATATTGCAATAATCTTCAAGCGCACTTTGAAACACTTGCCTTGAGATTAAATAAAAGATGATGCTTCCGGTCGAGCCCAAGCCAATTGCCGCCTGCGGAGAATAAATATCCGTTCCAGCAGATACTATCACCAGTCCGGCTACCGTAGCTTGTACACATCTCATTACAGTCCAGTGATTAAACTCTTCTCGAGGAAGCACGAAATGAAAGGCAACCACGAGTAAACTGCACGAAGACGCGGCCAATAAATTGTTGATAATAATATCGTACTGTCTTTTAATTTTGATTTCGAATTTTTCCAGTTGCATATTCGGCATATTGAGACTCTGAACAAAGGAAAGATATAATTTACACTCGATTCGTATATTTTTAGAAATAAATTTCAAAAAATGAACATTTGAATAATCTTACTTGTAGACCAATGAACACGAGTAGTTGGCCAGCAAATACAGTTCCTGAGGAACCAACAGCGATGCTCGCGTCATCTATAGCTTCTAATCGAAGTATCCTCCGCCCAAGCGTCAAGCATCCTATCAATCCTGACAATCCACCGACGAGATGAACAATTACAGAACCGGCATAATCGTGGAAATGTACATTCTTCTCGTTGAATGCATTGAATCGTATCCATCCTTTAGGCGTCCAAATCCAATGAATCAAAAATGGTTGCACTACACCAGCTAGCACGAGTCCTATCATAAGATAACCGACGGTGTGCGTCCGACCCACTATTCCGCACGTGCAAATGGCAGCGGCAATTACCACGGCCGACCAACCGATTATGACTTCGTCCTTATCGACGATTGCATCACCAATCCAATATCCTTCGGCGACTACGCCGTGTACGTCGCCAGTGTAGGCGATGACACTTCCAACCAGTATATAAACTACCGTTACCCAACAGAAGTCAAGAATATTTTGCAGTAAGATCAAATTGACGTTGTTCACTGGTACACTACCGACGTGAATCAGGACAAAACCAACACGCAACAGCACAACAAGTAAGACACGAATGAGACCCAGCCACGAATTAAAATTTGAAATCAAGTTGGTGTGATCAGTTCGATTGTGACTCGGGTAGTCATAATAACTGTATTCGAAGTCGTCCAAAAAAATATGAGACATACCCTCGGTAAGAAGAATCAATTGAAATAAATATTCACATTATCTAAACACTCTAGCCACTCGACACACTATTTTTAAGGTATTAAACGAGGTTTGCGAATTTAGTAAGGTTAAAATAAATGTCAAAGTTTAACATCGATTGGACGTAATCTGATCTGCGTCGTTATCGTAATGGCGCGCAAATATTATTGGTATCGCAAGTCACATCGACCAATCAAAAATCTCAACGATGCAAAATAAATTATTTATAAATCTCATAATAATTTTTGGAATTATTTAGTTATATTCGTATCGAAAAATGTTAATTAATTATTAAAATGTATTTTAAAATGGATATTATTTATATAATCAAGGTAATTCACTGAATAATAATTCAAATATTCAATATATACCGCGCAGATGACCACACAGAACGCTGATTGGTTCCAAGTTAGCAAACCAATGGCAAGCGACGAAACACGGTTCGCGCATGTCACGCCATTGGCCGCCGCAAGGTCGGGGTCTCGAGCCGCAGGGACGAGCCGGCAAGCGAAGCCGCCCGTTGTCGATGTAGGTAGTCGCTTGAAGTCGGTTGCTCGTTTCTCAGTGTTGTATGTTAAGTGACTCGTGAAAAAGAACAGTTTCAAAGGACTCGTTCAGTCAGTGTTCCGTTTCAGACGAAAAAACAAGAAGATGGCCACGGTGTGGCGTCGCGCTCTGTACGTTGTCAGATGGTACGAGGTGCCCCGCGTGCTGACTGTTTCCTCCACCCTGGTCACAACAAAAAACTACCAGAACGTGAGTGTTGACACACATTATTCGTATCTGTAGAGTATATCACGTATAGTCTAACGTAACGTGTTAAGTGCTGAAGTGATGTTTATGCCCTGTCAAAGTCCCGCAGTTGATTATTCGCAGTTACAAACATTCCTGCATATACATTATGTGTTAAAACTCTTTCTACTATACTACGTGTAGTTTAGCTCGGTATTTTTGTATACATAGTATCCTTTTGAATTACATTGTCCTTTCTCAAAGCTACGTGTATTATGCGTGCATTATTACGTGTGTAGAACGTATTTATTCAATAATATACGAGCAACAGGCTCCGGCGTATATATCGTGAACTAAAACCTGTCTGCCATTCTATCATCGACTCGAAGTTAAATCGAGGCTGCAAAATTCCACCGGTACTATCCATGATGCATACATAAACACATACTCCCCCATATCCTGATCAAATATGGATACCATGTAGGACGAAGTATCTGTTGTAGCAATTTTAGAACATTGATGTTATTTTTGAAATATTCATAAGAATTTTTTTTTTTTTATCCGTGATGAATGTCCTACTGTCGCGATATTATTCTAAGGAAAAGTGACGCACGTGCAAATCCGTATTCCCTCCGTTTATGTTTGGTTATGTTTGCTATCACCGCGATTAAACGGAAATGTAATTATATATCTTATCTTAGGCGTGTTTAACCAAAAAACGAAGTCCAATTTAACTCGTGTGTCATTCGTTACGTATTTATATCGTCCAACTTGCCTCTTTCACCGGTTTCACCGCGTTTTACTACACAATAAATCATTCCTCGAGCTGATAAGAATTTACATACTCCACGCGCCACGTTCTTCGCGCAGCCCGCGTCTGCAGTACATTAATTACTATAACCAGTGCTAATTACCGGCTACATCCGGGATATCGCGTTATCAAACTATCGCTCGTTAAAACGACAGCGCTCGTTGCCGAATTTCCACGTGCAAACTGTTTTCTTTACAAATTTGATCCGTTCGTTAGAGTCAGTCAGAAACGCAATTCAATTTCTCAACGCGCTGTCGGCAACTGACGTCGAAACGTAAAATCAGCTTCCTTCGAACGTGCTCGCGGGCTTGTTGCCTGGGAAATTATTGGCTGCCGGTGGTTTGATAAACTATTATGCGTGTCCTCTCGCGGTGGACAATATTTATTCAGCCTCGGAAACGTGAAACTTTCGAACGCGAGGCACAAATTATTCCTCTTAATGCGACATTGTAATTCGTTTTACGCAACAATCGCGATAATCACCATTGCAATCACCGGCAATAAATTATCGAATAAATTATAACGCTTTTGGGAAACCACACCCTCGCTTATTCTTGATTTACTGATGCCAGTGGTGATGCTTACGGTTATATATTCTACGTTGAATTGGGTCCCGAACAATATGTATGGCAAACGACTACAAAAGACTATTTTCTCTTGTTCCGCAGATTGAATAGTTGAAGCATGTTATTCGATTATAGGGGTTGCGTAACCGTAATATATCGGTGCACCTATTACTTCATAAATTGTTGATTATTTAGATAAGATAAATAATATAAGATGATAAAAATTATAAAATGAAAAGAATTGGTCTGTATACATTTTGTATTATTATTACTTGTTACGAAATAGATTAAATTTACGTTACGTAAATTTCTAATTTTAGGAAATTATTTTGTTATTTAATTTTGTAGGAAGATATTTACGATTTTATGGTTACGTAAATGGTGAAGGTGAAAGCTTGGTGAGTGAGAGGAGAATGAGAACCTCGACAGTTAGACGCCAAATTATGATGCCACTTCGTACATTCATCTTCTTCCAACGTCGAACCGAGACGTGGACTATGGCAGGACGTCTGTTGCCAGGAGGGTTAGGCAGAGGATATTTGATAATCAGCCATTAGGTGCACTCGAGATTGGAATTGATACGGAAATTGGTCTACGACGGGATATCCCTTGAAGTAATAAACGACTCTTCATGTAGGAAGTAAGAAACGTTATGGGAGCATTTATCATCCTTGCTTTAATGGAACAAACGTATACCCGAGGAGTCTCTAGTGGTCCATTCGGTTTACGAGAGCACGGCTGTTTTCTGAAGAAATTGTTATGTTCCTCTGAGACGCTCCACCAGCATCAGGAATACGACTGCAACTACGCTGGATTAGCTTCTATAAAAATTACATTCAGCTTGCCACGAATACTCTAACTAACGCTAACGACAAGTACCAAGAATTATAATATCAACGTAGGAAAAAGAAAGAATCTTCTTAGTTTACGATCTTGATCCAAGTTGTCAACTATTCAGCATGATTAAATGCTATCAGGACACCCGTAATTACACGAGCAGCGTCTGTTTGTCGGATTATTAGTCATACATAATCGATATTTAATAACGATCGTCAGAGGTCACTAGTTACTGTAATTTCCTATTGATAACATCACCAACAGTGATATCAAAGTGGTATCCAAGATCGCGATAGTAAAGAGCGTTATTCTGAATGTATGGATTGAAAGAGACGTAATTATGCACTGTCACGAATTCTGTAAGACCGACGTATTATTAACCACGTCATCTCCATTCATACCGATAGTTTAATTACCTCGGCCTTTTGATCGAATTAAGTCGTGCATAGCTGTAGTGGGATCAAAGGAATGGTGGTAGCACTAGAATGCATGTAGTGGTGCTATTACATAATACCTGGTGCACATTATGACGCCATGAATTCGTCATCGTGATTAACTGCATCGGTCTGCCACAGCTCAGAATATCTTGAGCAGCAGCTTAAGTTCCTAGAATTTGTTTAGTTTGACTCATGACCAAGGCACATGCGAATGATTAATAGCCGTTCTCGGGTTACAAATATGCAAATAATCCTTGTTCTACCGAAAACACGTTAGCATTGATTTAGCAACAGAAATGCGATTACGATTCGATATTTCATGCATATCGTAATACCCTCGCGGCACAAACTGATAACATGACTTTCTGTTTTTCGAGACAGCAATGTGATATATGCATATTTTGGGTATGTACCCAAGGGATACCCAAAACGTTCCTCCATAAATATGGCGGTAGGAAATTAACAGCAGTTTACATCTTTTACCATAAATTCGACTTGTTTGCCTGAAAAATGGGCGCGACGGTGTTCTGAATACAAATTAGATCGCGAAGATTGTCTATTACGTTATGTTAGGTTAGCTTAGGTTCAATTTCTGGTACAGACAACTACAGACCTCAAATTCGGAAATTACGTGCGTGTTATACTATAATTAACATACACTACTTGCAAAGTAGTACGTGACTCGATCTCACATTAATTAGATAGTGCACGAAAATAATATTGTCGAGAACGACTAATTTAGGAAATGAGAGTAAAAAGATATCGGGTCGTGCTACATCTATGAAAATATTTTGCATATACCAATTTTTCTCGATATTTTTATCAACCATGTCACACGGTACTAACCTCCTCTTATAAAATTAAATTTAGTTCACAATCGCACAGTTCTCGCTTGCCAAGATATACCCATTTGAAATACTCTGAAAATCAAACGGTGTGCTGTCACGTTGTCGCATATCGTATCCCTCCTCTGTTAGAGACACTTTTATCGCGCACTTCGTATATCGAAACAACTACAAAGGGATCCAGAAATACCCTTTGCAAATTTCTCCGCAACCCTAACCCGAAATGTCTGCCGTGCATCGCATTCACGCGATACGTGACATTCGTATCGAGTCACCGGTCAGGGTATTCTCGTCGCAGATCTAAGGGTCACGGATCAAGCCGTTCTGATGCATTCGCGTTGAAACTTATTCGCCTGATACAGCGATACCCTGATTTACCAGCGAGCATTCCGTAGTCTGTTACGTCCGTGTGATCTAGCACGACGTGTGATTCATCTCGCGTAATCGCGCGCATCTCTCGACGCAAACGAGTATTCCCGTTGGCCTCTCTGTGCGATCGCCGTTCCCTCCGACTATCAGGAATCCTCAATGATCGAACGCGATCGTGAAGTACTCCATCCACCGATCACGCGAACCTATCGTGTTCATTGGAACGAAGATTCCAGACATTCATCCGTGAGCTGAAATGGGACCTTTGTTGGCAACTTTGTTTCTTCATCCAGTTCGCATCGATCGGGCTTTTATTTACGCAAAATGGAGGAAAGTTCTTGTCGATAATTTACTTAAACCTTGACCCCGTTTTTCTTAAATA